AGGCAGCACACAGTCAGGGCACTGAACCTAGTCTTATGGGGAGGGTGGGGAGGCTGTCAGGAAAGGCTTTGAAGGAAATAACAATATTTTTACTCCCAAATAAATTATTTTGATTTTTGGGGGGGAGGGGTTGGAATCTCACTCCGTTGCCCAGTCTGGAGTGCAGTGGCATGACCAGAGCTCACTGCAGTCTCAACCTTCTGAGCTCAAGCAATCCTCTCACCTCAGCCTCCCAAGTAGCTGGGACTGCAAGTGCCCACCACCATGCCTGGCTAATTTTTAAAATTTTTTTTAGAGACGAGGTTTCACTATGTTCCCTAGGCTGGTCTTAAACTCTTGAGCTCGAGCAGTCCTCCCACTTTGGCCTCCCAAAGTGCTGGGATTACAGGCATGAGCTACCATGCCTTCTTTGACATATTTTGAAATGACTGCCAATAAGGCGGCAAAAAGAGGTAGCCCCGAAAAGCTATCTTTTGCGGGGAAATTTACATCTGTAGAAAAATCTACATTAATGCAGCCAGGCATTCCCTTCCCGGAACCTAGGAAAGATTATCTGAGAGTCTGACCTTTCACAGTCTAAAAGAAACTTTTCCCCTCTATTCTCTTTGAGGGCTCCCACCTGTGAGGTTCCAACTACATAGTAAGACCACCTTTGTTGGCCAGGCCTCTTCTCCTGCTCCCATAACCTGTCTTGCCACTAAAACCTAATTTACCACCATAACCTGTTTTTGGTCATGCTTCAAACCTCCATTCTTTCTACAACCTCAAGATCATATATAAACTTCCACACGGCAATGAGGAGGTCGGGTCTCTGTTCTGAAGTTTCCATGTCATGTAAAACTATGATCAAAACATTTTTTTCCTATGAATCCACCTCAGAGGGTGAAGGGAAAGCTTTCCCTTGGCCCCAATAGTTTCTAGAAGAAGTCACATCTAAATGGAAGCCCTGATGACATTCATCCCTCTCTATTTCTTTTTTTTTTTTTGAATTGGAGTCTCATCCTGTCTCCCAGACTGGAGTGCAGTAGCAGGTTCCCGGTCACCACAGCCTTGACCTGCTGGGCTCCGGCAATCCTTCCGCCTCAGCCTTCTAAGCAGCTGGAACTACAGGCACGCGCTACCATGCCCGGCTAGTTTTTGATTTATTGTAGAGACGAGGTCTCGCCAAGTCCCCCGGGCAGGTCTCGAACCCAGGGGCTCAGGCAATCCTCTTGCCTCGGCCTCCCAAAGTACTGGGATTACAGGCTGAGCCACCGAGCCCGGCTCCCTCTCTACTTCTTAAAGCACTGAGATACCGCGTAGAACATCCTTGATGTTTGGAAGAGTAAGTGATCCTAACATTTTAGAATGTCTTTTCATTTGAGGCCCTCGAGTAAAATTCCCTCACTTTATGGGTCTATCTCCCCGATACCTACAATGAAAGTGAACTTTTGGTTCAACTCTTTGGTTCAGCAGGGAGAATAATGGCTGGCAATTTCCTGGATCCACAAACTGGTCTGGACTACATTTATCCAAGTAAGTGACACAGTTTGAGGTCGTGGCATCTTGATGGGGCCATCAGAAAACAGTGGTCATATAAACCCTTTCCATCTTTAACTTGTCTGTCGTCCAAAGACAGCCCAAGAGGCAGGAGCCCCTTCTGAAGGACCGCATTTCCAGAATTGACCAGCGCCTGCTCCAGCCACAGGAAGGGAAAGTGAGGGTGGTGGAGGGGAAGGTGTGTGGACAGCAGCCCTCCTCATGCCTCCCAGCTCTCCACAGGGAGCGAGTCCATGGCCCATGGCCCGGGCACACCCACCGGGAAGGGGCTTGTGTCAGGAGAGCAGGAGGAAGGGAGGGGACAGGAAGGGGTACACATGGGGGCTGGAGACCACCAAAAAAGGAAAAACCAATTTCCAACAAGCCTGGCTTTCCAGTCAACATCATCTCTGGCGTTGCTAGCTACGCCCCTCCTATCCTGCGCCAGGAAGCATGCACCCCTAACCTCACTCAGCGCTCCAACACTGTGTGCGCTTCCTGAATACACAGGATTCTGGAATTGGGCCGTGATGACTCACCTCTGACGGTAAGGAGGTCTCCAGGCACCTTAGGCTGACTTGGGACATTTATAGGATTGTGCCTGTGTCAGAGGCTTTTAATTTTTTTAAAAAATCTTTTCTTCTTTTGTTTTTGAGTTGGAGTCTCACTCTGTCACCCAGACTGGAGTGCAGTGGCCGCTCCCAGCACCGCAGCCTTGACCTGCTGGGCTCCGGCGATCCTTCCGCCTCAGCCTTCCGAGTAGCTGGAACTACAGGCGCGCCTGG